CATAAGCTTTCTGCAGAGCATGGCAGAGAGTGGCACCACAGCACCTCTCTCCTCAGTGTGGGTTCAGGCTGGCACGTGGCGGGCGGTACTCTCCCTCCGGTGGGTACGGCCGTGCGGTTACAAGGGAAGTGACGGAACGGACGTGTGCCACGGAGGCTGGACGCCTATGAGTGGAGGCTGCCTTGCACACACGCTCTCTTTCCCTTTGCTGACTGGATGCAGGGACAACAAGACTCTAAGGGACAAAGGAGCTTGTGTTTATACCAGGGAGAACCACCTGCCCAGTGGGAACAACTGTTGTAGGAAAAGCCAAACAGAAGCCTAACCCACCTCTGTCTCTAGGGTCTGGAATCTGGCACAGAACAGATGCTCAGTGTGGGTTTGTTGACTAGAACTGAACTCGGACATCTTTGTCACAGAGCTATAACTAAAATGTGTATCCTTCATATATCACAATTTTATGATTACGTAGAGTTAATAAAATACTATTTCATGTAAAATGTAAGAAGCTTGCAACATTATGCTCCCATTTATTCCCTCATTTCAAAAAAATCCTCACCCAAGGATATTTTCCCATGAACTCTTAGAGTGGAAGGAGGGGAGAAGGGGGAGACCGCGATGTAAGAGAAACACATGATTGCCTGCCTCCCACACGACACTGACCAAGGCCAGGGATCGAACCTACAACCAGGTCTGTTTCCTTGATCAGGAGTTGAACTCAAGACCCTTTGGTCTGTGGGGTATGCTCTAACCTCTGAGCCAATCCGTCCAGGCTAATCCCTCATCTTTGAAGCAACTGTTGTCATACATTTTTTACTTACATATGGAATAAACTCAGTTTTAAATAGTCAGAGTCTTTTTAAAGAAATGAAGTTAAGAACAAGTACATAGTTCATTCATATTTACTTACATATTTGCCATTAATAGTGATTTCTTTCCTTTCTGGAGACCCATTTCCATCTGAAGTCTTTTTCCTTCAACCACCAAATCCTTCTTTAGACTACTCTGTAGAGCAAGTCTTCTGAAGATGAATGATTTCAGCTGTCATCATCTGAACATGACTTAATTTCATGCTCATCTTTTCAAGGATGTCGTTGGCTAAAGCATTGTGGTTAACACCTTTTGTTTTTTCTTTCGAGTGTTAGAGATATCTTTCCATTGTCTATGACTTCCATTGTTTCTGATAAACCATCTGCCTGAGGTTGTGTTTCTGTTTCCCTATATATAAAATTTCTTTTATCAGACTACTTTTTTTTTTTTATCCTCACCCGAGGACATTTTTCCATTTTTTGTTCAGGTAGAGTGGGAGGGAGAGAGAGGAACAGAGAGAGAAACATCGATGTGAAAGGAACACATCGAGTGGCTGCCACCCGCACAACTGACCAGGGCCGGGGACAAACTGCAACCGAGGTACGTGCCCTTAGCGGGAACCGAACCCGGGTCTCTCTGGACCGCAGGCCGACACTCTAACTGCTGAGCCAAACCAGCCAGGGCTATCAGACTACTTTTAAGATAATATTTTCATTTTTGATTTTCATGAGTTTGATGATGATCTGCCCAATTGTGATTTTCTTTCCATTTTGTTCTTGGGGTTTTACTAAACTTATTGTATCTGCAATTTGCTATTTTTCAACAAACTTGAGAAATTTAACATTATTTCTTCAAATACATTTTCTGCCCTCTTCTTTCTCTTTAGTCTGTGACACCTGTTACACACAGAGTACACCATCTGGTATTATCCCAATGCAACAGAGTGCATCTTTATTTTTATTTATTTATTCTTCTCTGTGTCCTTCAGCTTGAATAATTTATATTGATTAGTCTTCAAGGTCATTGCCTTTTTTTAGACCAACAATCTGCTGTCAGCTGACCATGGAAGTTTTTTATTGCGGATAAACTTTTAGTTCTAGAAGTTACATTTGAATCTTATTTTTACTAGAATTTTCAATTACAGTTCACATTTCATATTGTTTTGCATTAGTTTCCGGTGTACAGCATAGTGGTTAGATGATCATATACTTTACAACATGTCCCCGCTGACATTTCCAGTATCACCTGGCACTGTACGTAGTTACTACAATATTAGTGACTGTATTCCCTGTGCTGTACTTTACATCCTCGCTACTATTTTGCAACTACCAATTTGTATTTCTTTTTTAAAAATATGTTTGTATTGATTTTTTTTAGAGAGAGAGGAAGGGAGAGAGAGAAATATTGATGTGAGACAGAAACATTTATTGGCTCCCTCCTACATGCTCCCTACTGGGGATTGAGCCCACAACCTGGGCATGTGCCCTGACCAGGGATTGAACCGGAACCACTTAGTTCATAGGGCAATGCTCAAGCCACTGAGCCACACTGGCCAGCCCAATTTGTACCTCTTAATTCCTTCACCTTTTCACCCAGTCCCCTCCCACACCCATATCCTTTTATATTTTCCGTTTATTTGCTGAAATTTACCACCTTCCAATTATTATAAATATCTTTTAATTCTTTGCAAATATTTCTAATAGTTGTTTTAAAGTCCTCATGTGATAATTCCAAAATCTGGTTCATCTTGGAATCTGTTTCTACTGATAGCTATTCTTCTTCTGAGTTACGTTTTTCTGTTTCTTAAGATTTCTACAAATTATAGCAGCAAGCTGGGCGGTGTGGATGTTATATGGAAGGAATGCTGTATCCTTTACAGGGTGATACGTTTTGTGGTTAGTAATTAAATTATGAAATATCCGTTGGTTCTGCCAGCCTGGTTTGTATCTTTCTTAGGGCTCCTCTATGTAAACTTGGAACTTGTTCCTAGTTCCTGGCTCTTGTTCTAGGGTAATGGTCTTCTGTCTTAGGTGTGGCCTTTCTGGGGTATGAAACGCAATCCCAAGATTCTCAGTGAAGTCGGTCTCCCCACTCTGGATGAGCTCTGACTCCAACCCCCCTAACGTTCCCCAACATCTCACCTCCATTCAGTTCTCAGCCTTGGAGCAGATGCTCTGCCAGTCTCCTGGGGTCTCACCCCTTGCGCACGCGGGCGACCCTTGGCTAAAGACACTCGCAGTGAATCCACCCCCCAAGGACCCTGACCTGAAAATTCCAGCCTTTTCAGAAGCCTGGAACTGTTCGACTTACAGCTGTTTAGTTAAGGGGGTGACTGCCCCTGGGGCTCCACGTCCCTGCCCCCCGCAGAGAACACCCGCAGGAAGGAAGCCAGGGAGGTGGGAGGTCTCGCCTTACGTGTTTTTCTTCTGTCAAAGATCATAGTCTTATGCTGCCAGATATAAATGCCTGCAAACAGTTTTCTCGCATGTTCGTTCTATTTTAGAGTTGCTTTCAGTGGGAGGGTATGCCCTACCGTAACTGGAAGCAGAAGTATAATTGTTATTTTGGGACATTCAAAAAAAGCACAGAAGCTCACATTTCCACTCAACAAAAATACACATGTACACGAGCAACTCATAGTTTCCCTGGCTGCTTCAATGTCTTAGCATGGGCAACCCTCTCAATCATAATAATTCACATTTGTATAGACCCTTTTAGAGTTACAAATCCTCTTGCAAACACTGATTTGTTCCTTACATCACATTAGTTCCATCCCACAAATAAGAAACAGGAAAGATGTTCCCTGTCTTAATGTAGCAGTGAGAATTTCAACCCCCTTTTCCACCTAAGAGTCCAGCCTCTATTAACCTATTATCTTTAGTCAACAGAAGCAGGTATCTTTCTAGGGAATAGTCTTGTACCAACTGCCAAGAAAATTAACGTTTTCCCCCATGATGGTACACACTGTAGGACAGCGGGTCTTGGAAATAGTGTAACCATGAGTTTTAATTTGTTGCTTTAAAAATACTGGAGCCCATTCTGGTTTGACAAGGTAACATTGTTGCTGCTGCACACCCTTGCCCCTTGCCTCAGGCTGATCTGCCTGGCCCCGCAGACTTCCATCCCCACTTCCTTTCTGCCCTGGACAGTGGAATGAGAGATGAGAACGTGAGCAGAAATGTTGGACTCTGACTCCTGGCGGGGAGTGCCCACCGAGTTAGCATGAGCAGGTGGCCCATGTCTCACGCTGGACAGGTCTCCTCTTTGGGCTGCTGTTGATTGGCAAGGTTGCCTTGGTGAGAGTTGAGGTTTCGTTACAAATGCTCTTTTTGTCTTTGAACCAATCTCAGAGCTTGTTTGCCTCCCAGAACAGGTGGTGCTGCCTTTCATTAAGAGGGACCCATGAACGGCCAGTTGGCCGTGAGGAGAAACGGGGGGAGCTGGCGCCGAGGGCCAAGCAATCATGCCAGGACGGCCTGGCCACAGGCACAGGGAGGTGTTGTGCTTGGATGGACGTGCTGGCTGCTCCGACATGGATGATGTTAGGGAAGATGATACGACACGATTCAACCCAATAACCCAAGGATCAAGAATATTGATATTGAGTTTCAGAGAACTGCACCTGGCTGTTAAACGTTTCTTTCATCATCAGTCCAGCGTGACGCGTAGTCGGCCATCTGACTGTGCGGACTCCCTTGATCAGCTGCACAGGTCAGGTCTGAGGGTGGAGAAAGGCTGCACTTGGAAAGCGCTCTCTCTGGGCTGGAGAAGGGCAGATGAGCCCAGTCAAGGTCTACGGACACTTCAGACACACCTCCAATTAAACTCGCCTCAGCTCTGCCTTCACTCGCATGGTGCTGGAGGCAGAGGTGGTGGGGCTGCAGAAAGGGACGCGCAGCCCGACAGCACTGAGCTGAAGTCTGTCCACCGTCCCAAGCTTTCCCCTTGTCCTTGGCCCGGGCACCGCCTGCCCGCCAAGCCACTGGCCTGGGCCTTGCTGAGGCTGAGCGGCCCAGGACCCGGCAGCCGCGCTGCGACTGGGGAGCGGGCCGCCGCGGCCCCTGCGGACGCACTTCTGCTTTCTGCAGGAAGTGAGCAGAGCCCAGCTCGGTGATTCATAGTGAGAGGCTGCTGAGGGCGGTGGGCTGGCGCGCTCTCCCCCCGCCCGGCGAGCTGTGACCGGACACGCAAGCACCGTGCCACCTGCCCTCGGCAGGCCCTGACCGACACCTCTGGTAGATGACCTTGCTCTCGGGACGGCGGGTCACGCAGTGGTGGGCCGGGGCCCTGTCTGCGCGCTGGGAAGCCGAGCACGGGAGACACGTGACCGCAGCGCCTGGTCTGGGTTGTGGGTGCGGGAAGGAGGTAAGCTGGCAGCCAGGAAGCTTCTGCAGGGGGGCGACGCGTGTGCTCGGAGCCTCTGATGCGGGTCTGCTGGGGTGTCTGTCGCTCCTGGGACTGGCCGAGACAGGCCCCAGCACGGCGACTCAGCACCCCACTCCAGGGCGGGCCTCTCCCCGGTGCTGCTGAGGAAGACCTGCCCCACCTGGGAGGCTGGCCCCGGGCCCGTCTGCGCCAGCTGTCCGGGGACGGGGAGGCAGGGCTGACCGGGCGAGTCCCGTGTCCAGCCCCTGCGTAGGCCTCGGAAGGGTGTTGAACAGTGAGGGCCACTGCAGACTGGTCACCAAGAGAGCTGGCTTGTCCTGGCCCTGGGGTCCCTCCAGGGGGTCTGGTAAGTAGGTGCCTCTTTGGGCCCCCCGTTCCGTATCTGAACCCCCTCGTCACACCTTAGAAATGCCCACGTCTTCTGAAGAGTCGGGAGCACCTGGGTCACTGAGCACTGGCTCTCCTCGTGGGGTAGTTCAGGACCTCATGTGTTCTAGCCCTTTCCCTGGGACACTTTCATCTGCTATGATGTTCTGCGTAGTCGTCCATGTAACTGTTAAACAAACACTTATTAAAACCGCTTTCTGCCAGGCACTGTTCGAGGGCAAGAGGGCAGTGACCAGGGCCCGTGGGGCTTGGTGCCCTGGGCTGCAGTGGAGGGGCTGGCAATGTGCACCTTCTGTGGACACCTGAAGGAAGGGAGGGCCTGAGCCATGTGGGAATCTGCAAAGCTGTCCCGGCAGGAGAGTGGAGAAGGCCAGCCTGCAGAGGTGGAGGCCAGGTGGAGGTCTGGTGGAGGCCTGGTGGAGGCCAGGTGGAGGCCTGCTGGAGGCCAGGTGGAGGTCTGCTGGAGGCCAGGTGGAGGCCAGGTGGAGGCCAGGTGGAGGCCTGGTGGAGGCCAGGTGGAGGCCTGGTGGAGGCCAGGTGGAGGCCAGGTGGAGGCCTGGTGGAGGCCAGGTGGAGGCCTGGTGGAGGCCTGCTGGAGGCCAGGTGGAGGCCGTGGCAGCCAAGAGGGTGTGTGTGTGCAGCTGGTCGGCCGGGACGGCCTTCTGTCCAGAGTGAGGACTTGGGCTGGACCCCCTGACTCGGGAAGTGCTTACATGTTGATTAGATAGAAAAGAAATTAAGGAAAAGTGTAGCAGTGTAGGAGTCGACAGGACATGGACCCTGTGTGCTGGCACTTGGGTGTGTCTTTGGAGACCACCAGCATCCGTGGTGTCCTGGTGGCCTTGTCCTTCTCCCCTGCTCCTCACAGGGAACCGCTGCCCTATTTCTGGGGCTTGGGGTTCCCTTGACTTTCTTATACATTTACCTCACACATTTAAATTGCTACATACGCTATTTAGCCTAGCATATTTTTGAACTTTGTAAATAGGAATTAAATATTCTTTTGTTCTTTTTAATCCTCACCCGAGGACATTTTCTTTGGTTTTTTAGAGAGATCAGAAAGGGGAGAGAGGGAGAAAAAGAAACATTAATGTGTGAGAGAAACACGGATCTGTTGCCTCTTGCACGCACCCTGACCAGGGCCGGGGATCCAACCTGCAACCTAGATACGTGCCCTGCCGGGAATCGAACGGTGACCTTCGGTGCGTGGGACAGCACTCCTGCCGACTGAGCCACACTGCACCGGCTAGGGTGGGATTAAATACTCTTTTTAGGACTTGCTTAATTGGCTCAGAATTATGTTTCTGAAGTTCCTTCATGTTATGCCTCTAACTCATTCGCGGTCACACTGTACAGTGCTCTGTTATGCAGGAAGACATCTCGGGACGCCTCTCGTCGCTGCTGACGGGAGCTTGGGCCTTTGTAGGCTTTTGTTCTTCCTACTAGAGGCTGCTAGGTGCTCGAGGCCTCTCCTGTACACGTACTGGGGCTCGTGTGCAAGACTTTCCCAGCTTGTGTGCCCTAGAAGTGCAGTTGGCGGGTCACAGGGCACGTGTGTGCTCGGTCCCGCGGGATGAGAGCACCACTGTGTCACCGCCTCCGCCCGTCAGCGATGTGTCCACGTCTCCCTGGCTCACATCTTCACCAACGTCTGTTGTAGTTCGAGGTTTTGGTTTTTTTTTTTTTTGCCCACCCAGTTAAAATGAAAAACTATCAAACCATGTTTATATTTGAATTTTCTCAATTACAAAGGTTGGGCATCTTTTTATACGTTTATTGGTCATTCTGTGTCCCTTTTTTTTCTTGGTTCAAATATTTGCCCATTTCTCTGTGGGGTCATCTGTCTTTACCCCATTGATTTACTGTATTTCAATCCATATTCGGATATTAATCCTTTATCATTTATGTATGTTGTAAATATTTTTGTCTTGTTTGTGCCTTGTATCCATACATTCTTTGTGATTTCTATTAATGACCAAATATCCTAATTCTAAACGAGCCTAATTTATCCATATATTCCTTTATGATATATACTTATGTGTTGTCTAAGAAATTCTTTACTATAAACTTACAAAATTATTCTCTTACATTATTTAAAATTTTTTAAAATTATTTTGATTTCCCCTTTTAAGTCTTTATTTTCACCTGGAAATACTTTTTCTGTGTGTTGTGGAATGGGGGAGAATTCTATTTTAGTTTGTGTTTGCTATGTGGATAACCAAGAGTTGGCTCCACTTACTGAAAAGGCCTTGCAGTTCTGTCTCTCCAAGTGCTGCAAATCCCCGAATCCTCCTGTATCCTGCATCGGAAATGATGTCTCCAGACGACGGTCCCCACTCCTGGCTGAGGGGCCCGTCTGAAGTACCGGCACCTGTTAATAGCTAATTCCTCCCCGTCTAGTCCTGAGCTGCCCGCGTTGCCGCCTGTGGCCCCCCTGGACTGTGACAGTCAGAACTGAGATGTGCTCTAAGTAGCCTGTACATCAGGTTTCAACGATATTACAAACAAGCAATAAAAAGAAATGTGAACCACCTCATTAATACTTAAAAAAATATTGATTGCTTATTGAAAAGATAGTAGTTTGGATATATTGGGTTAAATGAGATATTTTAAAATATATTTAAAATTTTGTTTAATTAATTTAGCTTATTTATTTTTACTTTAAAAGATGTAATAACTTTAGAGAGGAAAAGAGAGAGAAAGAAACATCGATGTGAGAGAGAAACATTGGTTGCCTCCTGCACGCCCCTGACCAGGTCAGTCCCACAACCCGGGTATGTGCCCTGACTGGGAATTAAACCCGCCACCTTGCAGTGTTACCAGACGGTGCTCCAGCTGACGGAGCCACACTGGCCAGAGCTATTTTTACTTTTTAAAACGTGGCTACAGAAAATGTACAATGACACGTGTGGCCTGGAGCTGTGGCCGGCTTTGCCTTTCTGTTGGGCAGCACCCTCCAGAGGCTTTTGTGGAGAACATGGTTCAGGAAAGATGGGGAGGTAGGGAAGTGGGGGGCCTCAGGTCTCCAGTAGTGTCAAGGAGGAAGGAATATGGAGGCAAGCAGAATGGGTTCAATCCCTGCCATAAACCAGGCACTCGGTAGGGCACTACTGTTGGCAACCTCATTGAATCCGCACAATGAGAGCGATGGCTTTACTCCCATTTTGTAGGTCACGGAGGCCCAGAGAGGCGAGGTCTTCCTTCCCTCAGTCAGTAAGTGACTAAGCTGAGATTTGAACCTGGTTCCACCGATGGCTGTGCACTCGGCATTGGCCACACCCCACTAGTGAGTTGAGGAAGTACTTTTCTGGGCAGCAATATTCAGTGTTTGGCGCAAGTGTGGAAACTGGCCTTTTGGCCCAATGATTAATCTTCTTTTGAGGATTTATCCGCACAGATGATTCACAGGGAACCAAAAGGTCGAGTGGGTGTCCGTCCCTCTAGCATTGCCCGTAAGGGCAACGGAGACACCTCGCATCCGGTTCCTAGGGACGAGGTCAGCGTGTGAGACCGGGAGGGTGCTTCATGATCACTGAATCTGATCATTTAAGGGAGAAGCAACACAGACTATGTTTAGGATATGATGATGGGTGATTAATGCAAGTAAATTGTTTATATGTCAATTACAAGTAAAATATGCTTGGCTATGAAAAGCACTATGCAAAAGAAAAAGGATACTTTCTTATCTTTGTGTTTTTAATATAATAATAAAGTTGCCCAAAGAGCACTCCAGTATCCGCTTTTCAAAGGACATGCACAAAGTATAAGAGATATACAGAGATGAGCAGAGATATGTACACATGAAGAAGTGAGTTACGCAGTTGGTCAGAGCACACGGGCAGTTAATGTAGGGCTTCCCCTGGGTCTCCTGAGTGTGGACAGATCGAGGAGAGAGTGACCCCTTGCAGAAGGCAGTGGCTGGGAGATGTGTGTAAAAGTCTGGCTGAACTTCCCTGCAGCTCTGTCCCACGGCTCTGCCTTGAGGGTGGACGTCCTCCAGGAGCGGGAGGAGGCCAGGGACTGAGAGGGCGGGGCAGCGGGCAGCGGGCAGCCGGCCTTGGGCAGAGTGGGCATCAGGCCCGCAGCTCCCACTCCGCGGGTCTCCCTCCAGGGTGTAGAGCACCGCCCACAGGCAGAAGAGTGCCCGGGAGAGCAAAGAGCCAGGAGGAGCAGGATGGGCAACTCTCCCGATGTTCCAAAGAGAATGCAACCTGAAAAAACACCGCATCTTACTGCATCCCACACCGTCTCTAGGAACATTTCATTATGTAAATGACACATGTCTCAGGGTGACGGAGATAGGGACTGGGAGGAGGGGGGAAGTTACCATTGAGAGCCATTGATGGAAGACATCTGAGCCAGGGCGAGACAGACGGAGCAGAGCTTCCAATCTGCCACTGTGAGGTGGCGTGGGGGCAGCGTGGACCAAGGCGGAGGCCTGCCGTGCGAGGCTGGGGGAGGCAGGTGCCCACGGAGGGCAGGTGCCCATAACCTGGCTCACTCACTTGTGCACCAATCGGAGATTCCTTGGTTCTTTCTGAGTCTCCTCAGGTTGTATTTCCCATCTTCTGGGCGTGGAGAAGAATTCAATC